CACCAGCCAAGGCGTCCAAAGCAACGTCAATCCGAGGTAAAGGGAAAGAATCCCTAACGGTAAGGGCATTCACTCGTCTGTAATCCGCGCAAAAACGTAGTTTGTCATCCTTCTTTGGTAATAGGGTAACTGGAGACGCCCAGGGTGAGCGAGAGGGTTTAATAATCCCGACATTCAACATCTTGTCCAGAAGATCGCTAAACTCTGCCTGTAAGTGGGCCGGTATCCGTCTCGGAGTTTGCCACACCGGCTTCGCGTTTCCTGTCTCAATAGAGTGCCGCATATAGCTCGTACGACCTATCTGGCTTTCATCCCATGCGAAAACATCGTGAAAAGATAAAAGTAGTGATCGAAGACCTTCCTTATGCTCCATGTCCATGTCCATGTGATCTTTCAGTACATCATCAATATTTGTAGGTGGAAGATTCACGACGGCAGAAATTCGTGCACAAACGACGGCCTCATCAAACGAGTCGTTAATATTTGCCACATCTATTTCTCCACCAAAACTAACCGCTCGATTTCTGACATTGATACAGCAGTCATATTTGCTAAGAAAATCGATACCTAACAATAAGTCCCATGTCAAGCCGGGGACAACCAAAAAGTCATGGTCCTTACACGAATGTTCGAATTGTAACTTGATGTGGACAATTGCTAACCACTCTAAGGGGGATCCATTAGCTGCGACTAACATAGGGAGGGGCTCATATTTATGTATACGTCCGTGTAGAGGATGAGTAATAATACGTGGGTTAGCAAGTGAGAGCGTAGCGCCAGTATCTATAAGGGCTCTAACAGGTTTGTTTTCAACATAAATAGAAATAAAGAATGATGGGTCATCAGACGGCACAGAACAAACTGGGATAGAGACACTACCAGGTTGTTGATACGAGTGTCTGTCCTCCGTGAGCCACTGTCGCACTCCACACTGGCATTGTGGTGGTTGATATTCCCTTATTTGATTACTGCGTGGATGATACCTGGAATGTGGTGGACGAAATCTAGCGCCGTTAAAGAAATTATGCCCAAAACGCTGTGGTGTAAAATTAGATGTATTTGTCATTTGAGGGCGTTGAGGTGCCGGCCGCCAAATTTGCCCAGGGGAAACCTTGGATCTTTTAACTTCGACGAACCGATCTGCTCGGTCGATAGCATCCTATAAAAATGCCGGAGGTTGTAATTGAAATTACTCGGCTAGAGTACGATAGGACAACCCTTTTATAAAATCGTCAAGGGTGACTTCCTCGGCGTCCGCAGCGTTCAATGAGCGATAAGCCTCTTTACATAATCTCAGCATATCCTCCGCGAACTGGCGCGGAGACTCGTTTGGCTGCTGACGGTGGTTGAGGAACTTTTCAATCGACTGTCCTAAGGACGGTCTTGGGGAGAATAGCCGGCGTAGTTGGCATCAAAGGTTTTTATATAGAGTACGTCCTGATACTCCAGAATTAAGAGCTTGGCGGAGTTGCCTACTTGCCAGATGTTTCAATAAGGCGCGGCTTTTTTCGTCGTCAGGTGCTTCCTCCAAATAGAAATCAAGCAGATTTAGCCAATCCCCGAAGTCTTCTTCTCCATCAAAAATATGAAATGAGGATGGGATGGCGTGGTAGTAGGGTGCTGGTGTTATTCTAGGGCTAGACGGGTCTGTCGTGTGCGCTGCCACCATTGTAATACTCGAGTTACCTGATGGCTTGGTCTCATCTGTGTTGGAGTTTTCGGGAGGTAGTTGAGGCTGTTCGTCTGTAGAAGGCATAGCAGACATATCCATCAAGTCTCTCATTTGTGTGGGGGTCTTATGGGTATGATCACGCGAATTTCAACAACCAATACCAGAAATGAAGTTCCAACAAGGGTACGTTTATTGAATCGAGAACTAGGAGTAGGAGGAATTGTAAATTGGGGGGGGGGGGCAGAGGGGTAAAGGGTGCGACAATGGAGTAAGGGAACCAGAAGGTATGCGCAAACTTTCCTCCGATTTCCCCTCCTTCCTGTCTAGGCGTCGGTACGCGTAGTTTCACCTCGTGCGCGTCCGCTTGGTGATCCGTCACCGTGGCTTCAAAGAGAACGGATTTTCGCTCAGGAGAGCATTAACAAAGGAATTAAAACAAACTTAACCACAAAGATATGTTCTCTACAATGTTACACCCTGGATTAGTTAATAAAACAAATTATGTAGTTATTTACCAGCCGCGCTTGATTGGCCCATAGATGACTTGGATTGCTTGCTGGTCTAAGCCTCCATCTACTTCAGCTGCTGCTGCAACATCTGCGGAATGCGGAACGGGATGAAAGTTTATTAGCCTAACGGTATCAGTGGAAAAGGTAGGGGCACGTAAAAAGGTTGCAATACAATCTAAAGGGCATTACGGCGTATCATCGGGGTGTCGTAGGATAATTTTTTGGGCGTCGTTTCTGTGGTAATGACTTGATTTCCGGCACCTCGGCCGCTGACAAATGACACCGTAGCAGAGGAATCGAAAACAAAAACCTAACTCAGAAAATTGGAATTAACCGTTTAGTGTTGACTAGTCACTCGGTACATAAGAGCATGCCAGAGGAGGCGTAAGTGGCATCCAGTGATTAACTGGCTCTTTTTTCTGCAAACTAAGCAACTCCAATAACCTTAAAAGAACCTTGATACATTTTGTTCGGAAATGAACAAGGACGATGGGAAATCGAACTCATAATGGATACTCACACCCAATTTGTCATATTATTAAAATATGAGGAAGATGTGGTCTCTAATCAAATAAGTAGAACAAAAGCATATTTGATGCATGTTTTTAAAGTATATTTGAATTTGTAAAACCACCGAAAATAAATGTACAAATGTATAATAAGTAAGTAGTCACTTATTTACTGAGTTCGGTTTTAACGCGTGCACAAAAAGATGTGTATTCAAAAGTTAACATCCTGACGGGTCCGAAGTATTATGAGATCGAGTCGCGTGTTAATTAATTCTACAACTCCATCTATGCAACCTTTCCTGATTGAAGACGCATTTCTGAGTTTCGATTAACATATTATGAGACTGGCCACTCAGTGTATTTAATTATGGGAGTAATTGTGGACGTTCATCTGGTTGAACGACAACAATGTGAAAACCACCTGCATATGACATATTCCTCTAGATCTTTCCTCTACTACAGTTCTAATTGCACAGATATACCAACAGCTGCTAACCGCCTCATCGTCCTGCTGATGAAAAACGTAGTAAGCTAAGATTGCGTGCGGTCCAACATGAATAGCAGTTGCTTATGTTATTGCGACAGTAGTTGATTGGCTTCGACTCAAATGTTCATTGAAATTTCGGTTCTGACCCTAAAACGTCATGTTCTGGAGACTTAACTCTATGTCTTGCATTGAATAACTTTTTGAAGTTATTCGCTTGATTCTTCTCTGGAGTTCATATACCGGAAACCGCATAGGGAACGCTGAGAAACCCACTGAGGAGCCGAACCCCTTGCAGCTGTGTCATACAGCGGCAGAATAGAGGTGAATCACGTGTCCGGGCTTTAAGTTAACACCTTTGTCGGGATCACGGTATAATGCGTCTATAATATGTATAATTATGCTTCCGCCTCTGTCGATTTTAAGGCGTGCCTCGATTTCTGTAGCTCATGCAGCCTTGCTTCATCTTTTATCTGATTCCGGTTGACCAAATCCATATCGTTTATTTGGGTTACTACTGGTAATACTGTTACTTCTACCACTTACTACTATAGCGTGCATGGCCGCCATTAAATATGTAACTCATCAGATTAAAGACCAATGTCGATGCACGCTGTGAAGTACCGTTATTAGTACGCATGTGTGCAATCAGTTCTCGGCTCCTTGAGCCAGCATCATGCGCAGTCCAATCTAAATATAACTTCCGCATGTTAATGCCATTGTGAGCTGACGTGTGAACTCCAAAACATTGGAAGTGCAGTCTCACCTGCGATTTTGGCTTTACAAAGCTCTGTAAAACCATTATACTCAATAATTAGAGTAACTTAACAAGATCGCTTTTTTCACTCATTATAACCGGAGCAATTCCAGCAGAACTCAGCGTCAGTGTAACAGAAACGGGCATTTTACGCTCGTGCGGGAAGCCTCAAGGACGTCCGACGTGCATAATAGACTACTAGGAGGTAACGGTCAAGGACAAGACCGGCAACGAACCCTACAAGACTGCTCAAGCCGCTGAGCAAACATTCACCGTCCAGAACCTTTTAAGTTTATTTTGAGTTTATTTGATAAGGATGATAGGCAAAGCCTTTGAAAACCCTATTGATTACATGTCAGCTCGTTAGAAATAACTGTACAATAACAATGAAAATATTCGCTATATAAATAGTACTTGATTCATTTGAGTAGCATTGTCACAGAGAAAAACATATGAGGGGAACCGGGGTATTTAGCTCAGATTCAGACTGTCGAGGGAAAACAGGTGACACAAATAATCATCCAAGCGTTTCTTGAAGAGTTGCAGGGATGTCGCCTCCACGACTGACTGAGGGAGATCGTTCCATTTCTCAACTACCCTTTGCATGAAAAATTCAGAACGAAGGTTCAGCCTGGACATTGTTGTCCGTAGCTTCATCGAGTGACCACGAAGATTGGGTGAAAGGTGCCAATGAAACATGTCCTCAAAGCTAAGTCCATGCTCAAGGCCATTTATTATCTTGTAAACCAGGATTAGATCACCTCTTTGCTGCCTGTAACACAGAGGGAATAGATTAAGGCAATTCAGTCTGTCCGTGTAGGATTGGTTTTTTAGACCGTTTACGATCTTTGTTGCCCTACGTTGCACCCGTTCGAGGCATGCTTGGTCCTTTACAAGCCATGGCCGCCATGCTTGTATGCCATATTCTAAGTCGGGCCGAACGAAGGTGCCGTAAACTCTCCCAAAAAGGTCTTGGTCAAAGGTAACGAACGCCCTTTTGATTGCATGCAGCACTCCCATGGCGTTTTCTGCAGTCTTGTGGCACCTTGTTCACCTGAAGCCTCTCACAATGTACACAGTCGAGGTACGCACAAGGAACAAACCTGCTGAAGGCACTGAAAACGGCGGCGGCAGTTTGGGCAATCCAGCAATCCTAGACGTCGAAACCTGGCCGGGCGGTAAGCATTCTCTTCCTTCAGAACTGTTCATTTAGTGACTGGAGTCGTCAGCAGTTAGGTCATTTGGAGACTAGGAAGTTTCCCTATCATCTGTTATAAGAAACGCGACTTTGTCGCGAACAAGAAACATTACAGCTAGCGCTCAACGCATCCGCGTATGCTTTCCAACATTCAGCATTCCTTGTTTTCATCATGCTCACTCTTGTTCCATTCTGAGGAACTGACGACTAGAACGCAGGATCCGTCGGGAGGATCCGCGTCTCTGAAGCTAGCGCATTAGGAGATAGGTCAGTGTACAGGTCACTGCACTTGTGCCTGCCTTTCACACATGTTGCTGTGAGGAATAGCCCCATCACGACTTTTACGACGTCAGTACGCCTACATGGCCATTGCGATTGCAGGCTTGCAGCAATAAGCTTCCATATATGCATACTCTTCGGGTAGTAGGAAATTTGTCGCAGAAACAGAATCCCCTCGCACTAATTGCAAAAGTGGACTTTCATTCCACTAGTTACCTTTACATCTGAGAAATAGTACCATGATCACATTTTCGGCGCTACGACTTAGTGGACTGGCTATCACGCGTATCAGGATTGTAGTCATGACCCCTAGAACAATGTTTAATCTAAATTCGTCAGTATCTTTGAGTTTTTAACATTCTGAGAATAGTCACTGGAGCAGAAAAATCTCGCGCTGACTTAGGAAATTTGGTTTTCGTTGGAATAAACGCACCTGTAGCGTAGAATAGGAAGGCATAATGCTCTTTCCTCACCCGATCAAAGCTGAAACATTGCAGTCCAAGAAACCATGCTGTTATTGAATTCAGAAGAATATTTGGCGAGCACACATTTGCTTTCGATAAATTCTCGTCAGACCGGTACGTGTATATTGAGACGGGGTGAAGTACAACATGTCAGTAGTTATTAAAATCGATTAAAGTTCGTCTTTTCACACAAGTGCGCGTGAGACTAATGGGAGAGGGTGGTAAGATGCAGTGGGTGTCAGGAAGAGTCGTGTCAAGGTGGGAGAAGAGGATGAGAGGGCATGGGGATCGCATCTAGTTAATCAACCCATGGCCACGGTAAACGCGGCGCCTGCACAAGGTTCTTCTGTGCTCAAGAGGCCGGCTTGCATAATCTGATAGCAGCCGCTGCAGTTGTTGCCAGCAGCGGCTTGGGGTAGTTCGGCAAGATCTTATCCATCACAAGGAAAGTTTTGTTAGGATTCACACGACGCCCGGCGTCAACAGTGTGCGCAAAATTGCGCCTCTTTCAGGCACGCTGAGAGATCCGCATGCAGAATTCGTAGTGTGTTCCAGTGCGAAAAAATTGGATCAAATTAAGGCAGGGAAGCCACATTAATTGGATTATATGCAATGCCCAATTTTCTCACATTTATTCCCCACTTTAGGCTTCTTCGAACCAATTAACGAGAAAGGGGAAGTTCTGCCACCTTCAGCGATAAAGGAGCGCAGGTCGCCACCGCAAGGCCTAACTGGCTCCCTTAAGGAGTACCATGATCTACTCAAGAAAGGTGATGTCCTCGTTCGCTCTGAGTCGGCACCAGGAACCACAATGAGTCTCGCCTTGACAGAGATGGAGACCGACGTAAAGTACAAAATCTACATGCAGGCCAAGATTGCCCCCAACAGCCAGGGGAAGGGCGGTCGCTTGGGTCCAGAAGTTTTCATCATTGAAACCGCCTTGACTGAATCAGGTATGGTGTCTCTTGCATGTAAACATACTCCTAATGCCCTGTAGGATTATCTGGCAGAACCATGAGCAGAATGTCATTGCCGACAAAGACAAGGGAAACTGGAATGGCCATTTCTGGCTAATTAGCTGTCGTCAGCCAGTCACACTCAACCCAAAGTGTGCGACACCTGGGCCTCGATCCCGAGAAGTACAACGCCTCTAACCATTAAGCCACGGACCCGTTGTCCTGCGAGCGCCCAGCCAACCTCTTTAATGATGTCCTGCCTCATAGATGACCTCATGAGAAGACAGGTAACTTTCTTACCGATCGCCTATTACCGACTTAATTTTAAATTTAATCATTCAGAAGAGAGTGAGCAATTGTCTATGCCACGCGGCTGTCAAAATAACTCTACTATTTGGGCTACTGTAGAAACACAAATTACTTAAGCCGGCGTTCTAACAATCTGATCTAGTAATATTCTTAAGTAAGCTCAACGTGGATGGCCGCATAAGACATTCACTGGGTGGGACAGCAGGTGAGGCAGTAAAGGAAACTTACCAGTATGCGTTCGAATCAGAAAAAAATTCTTGATGGATTTACAAAACTAAGCTACTGGAAAAGTAATTGCAGGCACATAACTGATTTAAATGTCTTGACTACTGGAACTCTCAGCTACAGAGGAAGCGTTGATATTATACGACGGTTATCGAGCAGAGTACTAATGAAGATGCGTCATATTACCAGACGCCGACTACAGGCCATTCTTAATTGCAGCTGCATCAACTCCTCTCACCTTATGGTTGTCCGTCAATGAGCTGTCTATCAACTCTACAGATCTGCCTCATACGATGGAACACCCTGCCAGGGTGTCCAAAGTGTCGGATACTGGCGAATGTATCGTGGCATGTTTTCTTAGGTGCCTGGAGTGGAGGAATTATCACTCGATGTAATTTATTCGCATTTTGCTCTAGATAACGGGGGAGGAGGTAACCAGAGTGGCTTAAGCGGAGGTACCATCGCAGGTATCGTGATTAGTGTTCACATTACTCTACTTCCACTGATATTTCTCGTACTCGTAATACTGAGAAAGCAACACCAGACCGGAGTGGCTGATTACTTCCAGTGGTCAGAGGGCACCGGCGCAAGCTTCTTCGTCGACGATATGGAAATTGACAGCTTGGAGGGCAAGCGTCCGGGTTGAGTTTGCGTTTTATGCATTTGACTGACGCCTACTGTAATTTACAATTTCTTCGTAACTTTCGATATCTCTTCAGTCTTAAATTCAAACATGCTTTCTCGGAAAATATTAACCTAAATTCTAAAAAATGCGTTTTCATTTCAAAGAGATTACTTAGTCGAAATTGTAATGTTGATTTTCGTGTCGAGAAGTGCAAAGATATCCTGGCCGCGTCGGGGTGCCGACTTTTAAACGAGCTTCCTGGCGGCCGCCGATTTAAACAATATTCCTTAAAAATGACTGTCAGGTAGTCTGAATTTGTTCCCATTGATTTTCGGTGCTCTTTTAATTCAAATATGTTTTGCAAAAAAACATCCTCAAAATTATTTTTTTTCTTTTGCATATTTGGGTAGCAGATTACGTCCTCTTCAAATTTTATACTAGGAAAATGGGTATCATTCGGTTTTAAAAAACTGACTTGCCATCACTTTTTTACTAAGGGTTTTAAACATTCAAAATATATCCTGCCCGTATAAGAAAGCAATGCATTCACTCTCTACATATATGCACATTCTCTATTACGAAGAGGTCTCGTAGGACTCATAGAATTTTGTAATGGATGTGGACCATTTTTGCACTTTGTAAACAGCACCAGTAAATATGCTGATTATTAGACATCTCACGGTCTTGGAAAGTCTCATAATTAGGAACTTCTACAAAACTGAAATATACACTTTCCTCAGAAATAAAATTTGAAGAAAACGTAATTTGCTACCGGATGAGCGAAAGAACGCATATTTTGTGCAGGCTTTTCAAAGAATACTTGAGTTAATAACAGCATGAATATCAGTGGGAAAAATACATGTTACTTTTTGCGCGCTTTTTTGGAATGTAGTTTGCGCAGGCGGCTGCTCAGAAACTCCTTCCAAAGTCAGCATTTTGACATGACTGAAACATCTTTACGCTATTCGGTGTGTTATTGTATATGTATATGTATATATTGAAGGGTTACAGGCAGAACCCTTGATGACCCTATTTATGCACAGTGTTTTCGCAGATTCATACTCAAAAATAAAATAAAATTGCAGGCACTTAAAATGTGATTGGGTCACAGTTCAATCGTAATCATAAGGTAGTGAATAGGGTCAATGTAAATTAGTGCGGAAGATTGTATATGACAGATTTTACAAAACTGGCTGTGCATAGTCATGCTGTGCAAGCCGATTTCTGTCGAAATCTAGACGAGCAAGTTTTCTTTTGAACACACAAACTGTGTCAGCCGTCACCATCTCGCTTGGAAGCGAGTTCCAGGGCCTGACAACCCGCTGGCTGAATGAAAATTTTCGTCGGTCTAAACGCGTACGCTCATTCCCGACTTTGTATGCATGGCCGCGTAGTTGGTTTGTACGGGCGAACTCAAAGAAGTCCTCTGCTCTTAATGAGCAACCCTGGCCGCGAACAATCCGGAACGTCCAGAGTAGACTTCAGTTTATTTGTCTATAAGAGAGAGGGAATAGGCCAAGCAAATTCAGCCTCTCCTGATAAGACAATTGTTTCAGTCCGTCGACCATCTTTGTCGCTCTGCGTTGCACCTGTTCGAGTAAGTTGATATCCTTCCTCATCCATGGTGAAGCTGCTGGCATTCCATACTCTAGATGAGGTCTTACAAAGACACCAAAGAGTCTTTCGAAAAGTTCGGGAGGAAATATTTTAAATGCACGTCTGATCCAGTGTAGAGTACTAGTTGCCTTCTGGACCATCTTTCTGCAGTGTTCTGATGGCGATAGATTTGTGGTCGTCCATACGCCCAGATCTCTGTGTCTTTCCACAGTTTCTAACCTCGTCCCGTCAATATAGTACTGGTGTTTGGGACAGGCATTGCGGCCGGTGTTCAGGTGCAAAACCACGCATTTGGTCACGTTAAACTTCAAAAGCCATCTGTTCGACCAAGCACACAGTTTGTTGATGTTCGACTGCAACTTCTCTGCGTCATCATCGCATTTGACTTCACTCCATATTTTGATGTCATCCGCGAACATGAGAGCCTCGCAATTCACTTCGCTGATGCAGTCATTAACATAAATCAGGAAGAGTACTGGGCCTAAGACAGAACCCTGTGGGACACCACTTTCCACCTTTACCCATTCCGAGGTAGAATTACTAACGACGACTCTTTGTAGTCTGGAGGACAGAAAACTCCTGACCCACTTAAACATTCTCCCTTGAATCCCTACATCCCAGATCTTTTGTAAAAGAAGCCTGTGTGGGACACTGTCAAAGGCCATCTTGAAGTCAAAAAATATGACATCTACTGGAAAACCTTTATCGGTGGCTCGTGTCCATTTCTCGTGCGAGTAAAGAACACTCGTTAGGCAGGAGCGCCCTGGACGAAAGCCGTGTTGGGCATCGCACAATATTTTGTTCTGTTCCAGGTATTTCCTCAAGTGTCTTTTGATAATGCGTTCCATTATTTTACACGCGATGCAAGTAAGACTGACAGGACGATAATTTGTGTTAAATAGCATGACAACCTCACTCAGGTAATCTCTTCGAACTGAAAACGCATTTCATAATTTCGGTCAATATTTCATGAGACAATATATCTACTGTACATTTTTGGTCTCAGAATGCGGGTCTTCGCACACAGGCAGCCTTGAAAGGAGTCCGTATCCAATCTGCTGACCGGTGTGTGTGCGTGTGTGTGTTTATCGTGATTCCAACGGACACGTGCATTGTTTTTTCACATGGAATGCCAACTATTCATCGCGCAGCATGCCACTGAGGTTGTAAGGATCTTCGTTAGAAGTGCCTTAAGCAAACTTTTCGTAGTTTTGTTCTGCAAGGATTGTGTAGCTGTATACTTTCAGAGTCGCGAACGCTTGTTTGTCCAGTTTACATGTCTTGTCAACTTAATGTGTAGCGGTTAACGAAGTAAGGCCAACCGTAGCCGCACACAGTAATTTCGTTTTGTCTATTGTCAGAAGTCAGGGAGCTGTGTAAACAGGTTTATTCTATACACAGGGCAGGTGGCCTTGATTTGTCTGTTTTCTTAAAAGAGTCAAGCGTCCGTTCCCGGGGAGTGTCAGTTGCGGTTTGTTGTTTACGCGGCTGTCGGAAACTGTGTTTTCCTATCCGTGGACACGGTAATGATGCAGGAAAAACAGCATGGCAAAGTCGGGTGGAAATTTGTGACGGCTGAGTCCAGCCGCGTCTGGCGGTTTCGTGTAAATATCACGTCGGGGTTACCAATTTGTTGTGACAAAGCAGTAGGTGAGTATATTCAGAGCGCAACAATTATCAGCTCAACTCCCGACTTGTAAAGAGAAGACAGCATTTACCAGAATGAAGGGTTTATTGTGTACAGAAGATTAGTCGTCCACTCAGGCGGTATTGGCTGCTGGTGAAGCCGGGGCCGCTATTGACTACGTTCGGTTATGCCTGAGAGTCCCTTGGGCTCGGGGGCCAAGTTCGGGTAGTCTTCAATCAGTGTGTGCTGGTTTCATATGCCGAGGGGTTATGTTCCCGTGGTTTAGGCTGTGATTGAAGGGAGGAGGTGCATTCAAGCGACCACGTGGACAGCTGCGACCCTGTGTGGACGCAAGTATGTCCGAACTCAACCCGGTCGAGTGGCTTCAGGTCGGCGCGTCTGGAACGACTCATCGCGACGAGGTGAATGACCCTGAGGCAGCAAGACCTTGGACACTGACGCAAGACTGGCCACGATGACTGCCCGCAACAAATGCAAGGACCACGCGTTGTGCTGTGCAAAATGGTGCACATGCAGAGGGCGTTTATGGCGCTCGCTGCAGTCCGGTGATTATTTGTAAAAGCGTAGGAGTCTTTGGCGCCAACATCTCTCCGTTTTACTTTTCGTTCGAGAAAATCTTAAAGCCCAGCTTGTAAACCGCACCACACAACATTAGCACATGTGGGCTAGCGTCAACTGGAGTATCCGTACGTTT